TAATTAAAAAAATTTTTAATTATTTAATTCGTTTTTTCTCCCTCCTACATTTTATATGTAAAATTTATAAGTGATTAAAACGTACACATTTTATTATTTGACAAAATTTCGAGGATAAAATTTTGATATAGCAGTATGAAAATTTTTCTGTATTTCTATAATCGAACGTTCATATTATCTTTAATAATATTTCCATATCCTCTGAGGATTTCAAAAAAAGAATATACTTTTTAGATATTTTTTTATAGATATCTCACATTTTATCCTATAAAAAATAGTAGGAATAATCAAGAACAATATCAATTTTATTTTATTGATCAATTTTATTTATATAATTGTATATGTATATATAAAATTTATAGTATTTAAGAAACAAAACTTCTCTATCTCTCTCTTTTTCTTTCTCTAAAGACGATAATAGAATTGATACCTGTAATCTTTTTTAGATTCTTCAACGTAGAATTACAGCTTTTTAATTAATTATATCACAATCAATAACACAATAGCTGCTGTTAAAGAAATAGCGTTTATTTTAGCCATTTAAATAATCGATTTGTTAGTTTTAACATTAAACTTTGTACATTATTTTGTCAAAGTATTTTTGCGACAAATACTTACACTTATCAGGAAAAGGAAATCTAACTCGCAAAATAAAAAGCTTGTGACATTTTTTGAACTTGTCAAAAGTAACTCTTCTCGTACTTTTAAAAAAACGCAAAAAATACTTGGGGCATCTCTATTACAACACAATATTTAAATTGTTCTATAAGTGTCTAAATACGTGCTTTTCCTTTTTATATAAATAATTGCACATCTTTTGTTGCAAATTCTTTGCAAATTAAACTACTGATGATTTTTATGACAATTGGATGCACTATTACACCCTTATGAAAAAATACTATTGGACTCGCGAAAGAATGATAGAAATATTTAAAAAACTATTCGAATCGAATAAGTATTGTACACTATTCATTCCAATAGTTTTTTTCACTAATCCAATGGTATTTCTTCACGAGAGTATGTTGATTGTAGGCTGTCATACACAAAGCAACACAAAATAAATTAAATCTATTCTACAATTGCGTAAACGTAGTTGTAGATGGTTGTAGTTGTAAGTACTTATTGATGACCAATTATTGTCGAATATATTCTTCATGTTCGACTGTGATTAGCAAATTCTTATAACTACAATCACAACTACGTCACGCAATTGTAGAATGGACTTTAAGCATGTATTGTATAAGATGCTCAGCACGAATTATCACATAGTTTAGCGGGATATTTGTCAAACGTTTCCTTGGTCAACAAGACGCTTATACTTTAAAACTTTTGCAATCAGATAAGTTTGTGTACAACGACCTTTGTCGTTTGCACTCCAGCATGCACTAGCAGCATCAGATTCGTTATCGGATGCACAAGAGACGGAGGCGAACGTCGTCGCTGATATCACCCGCGTGAGAGATTCATCGAATCAACACCACTGAACGCAATGCCAATTCCCACGCTTTCGCCGACATCTACAAGAGACCGAACGACGGAACCTCCGCGCGTTCCGTCCGGAAGGAAAAAAACGTGCGGGAGAATCTTAGTGAAATGACGTGAAACTCGGGGCTTCCTCTCGCCGAGGAAGTTTCGGATTTGTACGCTTGGAAGCGATGCGTGACGGCCGACGAAGATCGAAAAGTACCGTCGCTGAGCCCCGACGAGAATTTCGGCGCGTGTGCCACGAACATTTTTCCGCCGTCGATTTTTCCCCGCCCTTTTGTCAGCGGGTGGGCGGGGCCGGACAAGCGACCGCCCCGAGCCGAGCGATCGCACGGTATTGCGCGTAGCAGCCGCCACAATGTCGGGCGAAGCCTCGCGCGAGCGTTACGATAGGTAGACGCGTTTCAGCTCATTCGGGCGTAACGCCAACGGCGTGCCGAGTAACGCGGTGGGCTCGTCCGGTGCCGGGTAGCGGCGGTAACCGATGGGGTCCAATGAACGACGAGACGAAACGATCGCGCCGCCTGTACGAGAGCGCTCGTCCAATGATCACACGGGGGATCTTCAGCATCCACTTCTCCCAGTCGTGGCCTCACCGCTCCTCTCTACGGCGTATGGAAACCCTTCTCTCACACGCAAAAGGGGACATCTCATCACGACTCTTGGTAGCAGGCACTTCTCCGTAGTGGGCACTCCACTCATCGTGTCGTCGTACGGGTTCTCCGCGAGAGGCTGTGGGGCCTGTGCCCAGGCGGGCGAGCAAGCGAGCGAGCGAACGAGCGTGAGCGCGAGCGGGCGAGCGCTGGTCGAGTGGGTCTAAGCGGCCGTGAGGACCTCTCCAGGAGTACCCGACAGAAGTCCTCTCCATTCATTCATCCATCTATCCAGCCAGCCAGCCAGCCAGCCAGCCAAGCCAGCCAAGCCAAGCCAGCAAGCCAAGCCAGGCAGGCAGGCAAGCCACCCAGCCAGCCATCCATCCATCCATCCATCCATAGAACGGCTCTTCTCCTACGGAGAGTGTATCCTCGACGAAGGTGGAGGCGAAGCGTAGAGTGGTACATCTACCATCGTCTCTCTATCGGCGGAATCCAAGGACTCCCAAGACCCCCGTGTGATTTCAGTCGGCCGCCGGCCGGCTCTGGCCGGCCACTATCCTCGACCACGTGGGCAAGGTCGCCGTGTCACCGCGTTATCCTTCGTTCGTTTTTGGATTCCAAGGAGCAACGGCAACACGTCGACGTTACGTTGTGTTCTCCGCCGAGATAGTGTCGAGAGGTCCGACGACCGCAGGAGAGCCATCCGAGTCGGCCGCCGGCCGACCGCGACCTCGATTTTTCCCAGTTACGTGTGAGAGTTCGTCGTGCGCCACGTGACATCGCATCCCTTCGTCTCTTAATGTCCATCTCGCGGCCCGAGACTCTGATTTCCGGAGAAAGTAACCCGGAAACCAACAACGACGAATGTAAGAAAGAAGAATGGATAATACGTTCACCATCAACGTTGGCAAATAAAATATATCCGCAGTGAAGAAATCTCAGTTCTTCTTCTTGAATTCACTTCGAAATCCTCAAGTAATCGAAGACTTATTCAGCCAATATCTAGTGATAGTGGAGCTTGAAGACGAAGTCAGTGTTATGCAGATTGAGTACTTCCGGTGAGCTGTCGTGTTTGTGTATAGGAATTGGTTTTCGCGATTGCAAGAGCTATGCGTGCGTTTAAACGTAATCGAGATCAGGGAAAGAGAAAGAGGGACAAATCTCGGCTCGCGGCGAATGATTGCGGGCTATACATTGATTTCGGGGACAAACGATCCCGATGTTAGTGAAGACGGGGAATTTTTTACTGTGCGTTCGTGACCCATTACAGTAATAAGTGAGCGCGTCGACTTATACGAGTGACTTGTGGCATTGTGGGATTAACTAGTCGTGTGTACCGATTTCGGTCCCGAGTGAACGATCGTTCGAGTGACATACTGTCGAAATTTCATGGTGAAGATCGGACGTTCGGAGTTAATAATTCATCCGTTGAGAACGTGATCCAAAAGGAGGTGCCGACGATCGTGTGAAAGCTACGTTGGCGATCGGCTAGATAAGAGAGAGAGAGAGAGAGAGAGAGAGAGAGAGAGAGAGAGAGAGAGAGGAAAGAGAGCAGTAGAGTCATAATGCGCCGTTGTTACGGCTAGCGCCGGCCTCATCATTCCGCGAAGCGCGAGCTTCAAGTATTTCGACGGCGTCGGGCTCGCCGAGATGAGCGGTGGCAACGGCGGCGGCGGAAACGGTGGCGGTAATCAAGGCGGTAATGGCAACGCCACGACTTATCACCAGCACCAACAGCAGCAACAGCAACAGCAGCAGCAACAACAACAGCAACAACAACAGCAATCGCTGGAGCAGGCAGGCCTGCTGTCAGATCTCAATGGCATCGACCTGGCGATGAGCCTGTCGCCCAAACAGCACTCGTCCCACGTGCAAGCTGCTGGTGCCCACACTACGCCTTTCAGCGTAACCGATATCTTGTCGCCGATTGAGGAGTCTTATCGGAAGCTCGAACTCGCCGCTGCCGCCGCCGCCGTCGGTGTTGGTGTCGGCGTCGTAACGCATTCCCAGGGATCGCCTTACGGGAACGCATGCGGTGCACGGGTGGGTGGTAACACCGGTAGCTCGAGCGCAAGCAGCGGCAGCCCGCCGCTGCACGGTGGTTCGACGCCCGGCGGCAGCACCCCCGGACCAGTTTCCGTTGCCAACGGGGCCGCCCCCGGTGGCGGTGGCGCCGGCAGTGCCGGCGGTGCCGGCGGAGGCATGAGTGCCATGGGTAATCCTTACGCAACTATGCAGCTCACGTCGCAATATCAATATTGCGCCGCGGAATTATCGCCGTATCATCACGCCGGACCCGGCGTGGGCGCCACGGCTACAGCCACGGACCCCATGAGGTCCCACGCGGTCTCCTCGCATCATCACCCGTGGTACGCACCGGCGCCACCGGCCACCAATGACCCGCGCTTTGCCAGTGAGTAGCTTGTCTTTTATTTCAAGAAAATCATTGAAGAAAGTTCGAAGTCCCAATCGATATAAACTAAAAGTAACGTAACAACAATATAAATGTAATATAACACATGATATTAATAAAATAATAGTTACATTGTTGATGTTCTGTAATTTTTAGTTGATGTCGATTGGGGGACGAATATAGTGATGTCTAACATCACATCTAACATCTATTAAATCTATTTCTTATACTGATGTAGGTATAAATTAATTTTAATCTTGATTCATTTTACTCTTTACCTTTTTCTGATTAATTACGAATTCTTACACCAAAAGAACGATTTTGCTGTAGAATCTAAAATTTAGTTAGATATAGATCTGAAATTAATTTTGTCGGAAACTAAAAAATGATGAACAATGTTGCAAAAATTTTGATATAACAATCCATTTCTAAGAAAATTATTTTTAAATCCAGCACAATTTTAGATCTCAGTAAAATCGTTCTTTCCATGTAGAACTAAAAAGGATAAAAAGTAAGTTAAAAAATCGAGATTAATTAATGTTGCACTGATGGAAATGAAACGTAAGATGAACGAAGCCTGAACAACTTTAGCTAAATATTGTGTATATGCAATCTCTCAATACAATAAATTATAATATATATATGTGTTATGGTATCAAATTTATGAATATATCAAATTGTAATATAAAAAATATGAAAAATACCATATTATCGATAATTAATAAACAAATATTAGTTTTTCAAATATTAATTCGATTAACTTTACATAAAGCTACTATTACATTCTACGAAATATTTTCTAAAGAATTAAAAAGACTCATTTTTCCTTATTACGATTTTGTTCGCAAAGTCCTTAATCATCACTACAAC